AGTTTTTCAATGACCATCAATTTTAACCTTATCTACTTCAATACCCTTACTAGAGACAACATGACCTAAGATGATGCCTTGTTTTACCATAAAATGACTCTTTTCCTAACTTAATGTGAGATTACATTCAATGCATCTTCCAAGCACACGAGTCATTTAAGCAAACAATCATTAAAAGAGTTGTCAAAGACTAAGAAATCATCCATGAGTACCTCTATAAAGTCTTCTATCATGTCGAAAAGATGGATAATATGCACCTTTGAAATGTAGGCGACGTGTTACAAAGCTCGAATGCCATTCGTCGAAATACAAATGTCCCAAAAGGACATGTGAACATCGTCTTTACTTGGTCTTTGGGACCTATCGCCACTTGGTAGTAACCTGAAAGACCATCAAGAAAATAATAAAATTCATGTCCATCAAGTTTATCTAACATTGGATCAATAAAAGAGAGAGGAAAATGGTCCTTTTTTCGTAACCGCATTCAATTTTTCGTAGCTAATGCACATCCTCCATCTTGTGATAGTTCGAGTAGGCATTAACTCATTTTTCTCATTTCTTACTACGAATAATGTCCGACTTCTTAGGGAATACATGAACGGGCTTACCCACTCACTATCGGATACTAAATATATTACTCCCTTATCAAAGAGCTTAAGGACTTTCTTTTTGACTACTTCCATCATGTTGGGGTTAAGTTCTCCTTTGGGCTTCCCTCATAGGTTTTGCTCCCTCTTTTAAGGTAATCATATGTATGCATGTTGAGGGATTAATTCCCTTAATGTCACCCAAACCCTAACCTATGGCCTTCCTTAACCGTTTAAGTTCCCTTATGGTCTTCTCTTCCTCTTTCTCACTCAATTTGGCATAAATAATTATAGGAAATGTCTCCCTTTCTCCTAAAAATACATATTTGATATATTGAGGTAACTCCTTCAGCTTTAGTGTAGGAGGGGCAATTTCCTCTTTTTCAAGACTTGGTGTCAACTTTGTAGTTTCATAAATTTCCTCACTCTATATGCTATTATCAAGTATTGCATAACATTACTCAATTTCGTCTTCAATAATCTCAACACTATCATCAAGTATGAATGCCAACTTTATTTTGTTATCCTTACTATCCTGGAGAAATACATCGAAACTACAGAATCAATACAATCAATAAAAGAGCAATCTTCATATAAAGTAATGGTTGGAATTGGTGTAGTGTTAAAAACAAAAAATATTTATTGTTTCACCATAAGACGATCATAGTTAATTTTCTATTTTTTACATCAATGAGATTATTGATGGTGGCCATGAAGGGCCTACAAAGAAGTATGGTGTGCTTTGTCTCTTGTGCATTAACCTTACCCATATCTAAAACCATAAAATCCACGAAATAATTAATCCTCCAACTTGTACTAAAACATCTTCAATTATTCCTTTAGGGTATCGAATTGACCTATCTACTAATTGCAAACACATTTTAGTAGATTGTAATCTTTCCAAGTCTAATTGTAAGTAAATAGAATAATGCATCAAATTAATACTAACCCCTAAATCCAACATACCTCGAACTTCATTCCCATTACCCATAGAAATAGTTAGAATGAAACTACCTGGATCCTTTATTTTTTGTGATAATTTATGTTGCAAAATTGCATTAGCCACTTTTGAGACAATAACCTTTTTATTGGGTTCAAATTTTCTTTTCTTGGTGCTCGGATCCTTGAAGAACTTGACATACGCAAGTATGTGCTCGATAACATCCGAAAAAGGTAAGTTAATATTTACCTTAGATAGCATAATATATAGATCAAAAACTCGCTCATTCTATTTAGTGTCTCTGAGCCGACTTAGATATGGAATTGGTGGCCTATAAGGACTTGCTACTTTGTGAAGTCTAGGAGTAGAAGTTACTTTCTTCTCTTGGATGTCATCGATGGAGAGACAAGTTATCTTGGGCATGACCCATGGATATATCAAGGTGGTGAGCAAAATCATCATGGGCGTGACCCATGGGTGTGTCACGATGGTGAGCAAAGTCACAGGTGTGACTTATGGGTTCTTCATTATCTTTTCTTTTTGAGTCATGGCCATGTTGATTTCCTTCACTTGATTTTATGACTTGCTCATATTTTACTTCACAGCTTTATTTTTTCTTCGTGTTTTCCTCCGTGAATACCTACGAGCAATGTTTCATCATTTTACTATCTCTTAATTTTTTTTATTGATCACCTTACCACTTTTTAAGATTGTGATGGACTTAGCTTGCTCCAACTGACTAGGCAATTTACCTTTTCGTTGAGACTACATTCGTGTTGCCAATTGCCCGACTTAAGTCTCTACCCTTCTCAAGGATGCTTTCAAAGAATCAAATCTTTTATTATTAGTCTCTTGATTTTAAGTGCTTGCTTGAATAAACATGTGCAGGGTATCTTCCAATGGGGACTTTTTCATTAGATTTTGATTTGATGATTGTCCTTAGAATTGGTCGAGTTTTAGAAGCTTTGGTAGTGTGGTTATTGCTTTCGTCGTGCTGATAGGATGTTCTTCCATGCAAAATTTGGATGGTTTCTCCAACCGGGGTTATACTTATTAGAGAAAGACTTATTCCTAGCCCTTTGTTGGAAACCATCCATTGCAAAGGCTTATTCTTCATCTCCTACATAAGAATCACTAGAGAAAGAACAAATGTTAGCTCCATGACCATATACCCCATATAAACCACATACCTTCCGATTTGGTGTGCCTTGAGGTCTTTACGTGGCAAGCAACTTAACTTGCTAAGTTAATTTTTCCAATTATGTGACCATTTCGTGATTTGCACCAACCTCATGGGTAGCCGCTTTCCTTCCTCTAACGCTCTTTTGTTGAGAATTAGCTCCTAACATTTCAAATAACTCATAAGAATCTTATGTTGTTTTCTCTCCCATTGCACCTCCTATTGCATTATCCACGAGTATATTGACATTTTTGTGTCAATCCATTATAGAAAAATTGATTTAAGAGTTGTGATGGATAATGTTGGTGTGGGCATTAGACCAATAAGAGTTTGAATCACTCCCAAGTTTCATGGAATGGCTCTCCCTCCATTTGTATAAATGTGGCAACCTTGGTTCTTAATTAAAGTCTTTTGATGGGAGTAGAATTTACCCATGAACTTGTCATACACTTTTTCCCACATGGCTAGTGAATTGGGAGGAAGAGTCATGAGCCATGCTTTAGCTTTATCTTTCAATGTGTAGGAAAAACATCTCATCCAAAATTGGTTTTCGTTCAAACTTTGCAAGTGGAAAAGTCTCAAGTGTAGAATAAAATTCCCTTATGAAATTCAAGGGATCCTCATTAAAGACTCCATAGAATGACGACAACATGTTATAGTGGATGTTCTTGAGCTCATAATTTCTTGTAGCCTCACCCAATTGAATGCACGAAGTAGCTACACCAATGATTGATCCGGCATATTCCTTCATCACGATTCATCGATCCGCCATGACTTCGTTTTCCACTCGGTGCGTCCTCCACTACTTCTTTGTTAATTTGCTTTTCTTGATCACTTCTTTCCTCTCCAAGTCCTTGGTCCCTCTGAATTCTTTGTATATTATCGATGAAATGAGCCAACATGTTCCCCGAAAAGTGCCTACCATGCATGCAAAGGAAGAAAAGAAAATAAAGAAATCAATAAATTAAACTAAATTAATCAAAAGACTGCTTAAACCATAAATATTGACTTTTTTTGAACTATAAGCAAACAAAAAAAAAATTCTAAAGATTAGAACAAAATACCACAAGCAATTAGAATTAAACTAAACTATCGTGCATTACACCTCCCTAGCAATGGTGTCAAAAACTTGATGTGCCCAAAAATGTACTAAAATTTAACAGGAAAATACTTACAATTATACAAGGTAATTATAGTACTAGTGAGTCACCCTAATGTCGTATTCTCAAGGAGATGTTATTGGCATAAAATAATTTAATCCCAATTGAAAACAAGAATAATAAAGTAAAATCCTAAACACTCTAACAAGATTATGATTTGAAAATTATAAATTAAAAAGGAATGCAAAGCAACTACCGTAATCGTTACAAAATTGGGAATAGAAATCAATGTGAGAAAATTCTTGAGAAACTAACTCCACCAATTAAATCCTATGCTTAATTAAAATTCCTCAAATAATTATTCTTATAGAGATTAGTAACCAAACATTAATTTAATTAGCTAAATACCTTCGTAACTTTCGTATCTGGAAAGTCTAAAACTTGATTAAATTAATTAATCCTTTTATTAATCTTTCTTTCCTGTGTTACTCGGATTTCTCATTAATAACCTAGTGTTTATAATCCTTTAGTCTAGTATTGAATTTTATCGATCGACCTCAACTCAATACCACGAATATATAACCGTTGGCCAAACACTCATAAATAAATAATTCTAGAATCACGTAACGAATGACCGTAACAACTAAGTAACCAATTTAACTAAACATATTAAATAAAAGGATCCGTTAATTCTCAAGACAGAATTTAGCTCATAATTGAAAGATAAACATCCACTGATTTAATCAAAATAAATTCTATTTTTTCATAATCAAGAATTAAAAGTAATGAAATCGGAGATTTAGAAGAAATCTAGTTTGGCTCACTTCACTCGAGGATGGTATCCGTTCTAGCTTAAGCACGAGTCCTTGCCAAGTCTCTAGTGTTTGTATTCAATGGCTATAAAGAGAATAGATGGCTACTAGAAAATCTAAGGCTTTTGAGATAAGGCTAGATAAAATGCATCGATGTATGGATGGATGGACGAATCCCCCTCACCTAATTCTCTACATCGTTTATATTCGCTCCAAATCTGCACAATCTTAGCTTTCCAATTTAATTCACTGAAAATCCACATAATTCAATCCGCAATCCTCAAGAAAATAGGAAAATCACTTGTCATGGCCATGTGAATGAGGCCACCGCCATGATTTGATGAGGGTCACGCCCATGACTAAGTTTGTCATGGGCATGAATTATGCATATTTTTTCTTAAGATCAACCATGGCTTTGACCGTGCTTTCTTCCTTTTTAAGTAGATACTCGAGAGCCTTTTTTTTTCTTCCCCTTTTAAGAGTCATGGCCATGAATCTTGAGTCACCACCATGACACTCATTTTTGTCCTTTTCCCCACTCTCCTTCATGCTTAATTGCCCTCCTTTGTTTATCTTCTTTCAATTTGGTCCTTGAATCTTCATTTCTTTGTTTCCAATTTGATCCTAAACCTAAATAAAACATAATTTAAGTCAGGATCAAAACATACTTATAAGCATAAAAATATACTAAAAAGAACGACTTAAAATACTATTAAGATAATATGAAAATAATAAGCAAATAAAATAAAAACTTACTAAAAATCTAGAATTATTCTATAGAAATTAACATAAAAACTACTAAAATAATCTATAAATAATAGACACAACAATACGGTAGTACAATTTAGTGTTTTATACTAACTTTTATATGGACTTTATCATTGAAGAAGAATTTGTTTCTCTTCCTATAATGGTAATTGACAATGATTAGGATCTTATTCTCGACATTGTTTGTGTAGCAAATTCGAAACAACAAGGACTTTTTTCAAGAACTCCCTATCCAAAATCAAGAGGTTGTTTTTAAAGAAAAAACTCGAACGACCTCAAAAACCAATGGCATTAAGGAGATCTACTAGAGAAAAGAAGAAATGCAATTCTAGGTGATTATATCATCTATGTCTAAAAACATGAGGTTGACATAGAAGCGGTGGAAGATGATCCAATTAACTTCCATCAAGCCATACAAAGTTATAATTTTTAAAAGTGGATTAATTCCATAAATCAAGAGATCAAGTCCATGAAAGACAAAGACGTTTGCGATCTTATCCCATTGCTCGAAGGTGTGAAGCCTTTTGGTTGCAAATGGATATTTAAAACCAAAAGGGATTTGAAAAGCAATGTAAAGAGATATAAGACTTTTCTTATTGGAAGAGGCTTTACTTAGAAATAAGGCATTGATTATGAAAAGATGCTCTCTCTAATTTTATCGAAGGACCCTTCATAACAATTATGGCACTTGTGGAATATTTTGATCTTTACTTACATCATATGGATGTAAAGACTCCATTTCTCAATGACGACATTGACAAGATAACTTATATGGTACAGTTAGAAAATTATATTGGGAAATTCAAAGAAAATGGTTTGGAAATTGATGAAATCTATCTATGCACTTAAGCAAGCTTCTTGTCAATGATATTACAAATTTCATCAAGTTGTTGTCTCATTTTTTTAGATGAATGTAGTTGATGATTAAATATACCATAAGTTCGAGTAGGAGTAAACACATTTTTTTGTGTTATATATTGATGACATACTAATTGCCAATAATGATATAGGCTTATTACCCAAAACCAAAGAGATTTCTATCAAAGAAATTTGAAATGAAAGATTTTAGGAATGCCTTTTTATATTGGGCATACAAATACATCGAGATCACTTTCAGAATATACTTGGGTTATCACAAAAGATCTATATCAAAATTTTTTTAAAAAGATTTGGCATGTAGGAAAACTAGGAAAGACCTTTGTTGCTAAGAGAGACAAGTTCAATCTCAATAAAATGCCTTAATAATGAGTTTGAAGTGAAAGAGATGTAGAAGATTCCCTATATGTCACTCGTAGGGAGTCTAATGTATGCTCAAGTGTGTATGTATCAGAATATTACGTATATTATTAGGATTTGAGGTATATATTTGAGCAATCTTAGAATGCACCATTGAAAGTTATGTGGTACTTACAAAGAACAAAGGATTACATGCTAACATTTAGGAAATCAAATTAGTTGAAGATTATTGGTATTCCGATTTTGATTTTATTAGATGTCAAGACAATCGGAGATCCATATCGAACTATATCTACTCGCTAACCGAAGGAGCTATTTTCTAAAGGAATGCTATATGGATACTTATAACTTCTTCCACCATGGCAGTAGAGTTTATAAGCATGTTATGAAGCTTCCAACCATGGGATATGGCAATAGAATCTTGTCACTAGGTTATAAATTTTAGATTGTGTAGAAAGGCCACTAAAGTTATTTTGTGATAATATGTCAACAGTGTTATATTCTAATAATAATAGGAGCTTGTCAAAGTCGAAGCACATAGACATCAAGTTCTTAGTTGTTTAAAAAAGAGTTTAGAGTGGTCAAGTGTATATGAGCATATTGGCATAAACTCCATGGTTACAGATTTGCTTACTAACGATTTACCACCCAAGGTCTTTCATGAACACATTACTCATATGAGTGTTGTATCACTTAATGATGTTTTGGTTTATTGGGAGTTTGTATTTTGATGCTTTTTTAATTATAGACACATTTTATGGATATTTTTTACAAAATAAAGTATATAGTTTATTTACATTGTGAATGTATTTACAATGATCTCACAAAAGAATAAAGTTAGACTATTGAAAATAGGCATGTTTAGATCACATTACATGTAATTTCTATACTACAATCCATACTTTATCTATGTCATTGGTTATATTGATATATGTGACCGTTGATGGGTCTAATAATGAAAAATGTAACAAAAATCACCTTGATCCTATATTGATATGATTAATGGACCAAATAGTTTAGAGATACCTTTAGTAATGATAACAAATTTTGAGCTCATAAGGTCATTTTATAATGCACAATTACAAAGTAAGAAAAATGGCCCAAGTAGGAGATTATTTGAAAATAATTAATATGTGAATCAAATATGTTATTAACTAGGTTTTATAGGCTATCATAAAAGGACTAGCCCATTTAAAGTGATCTAATGAGATTTTTAGTTTTGGGCTTAATATGTGTAGATACTAGAATCTAATGTCTATTTTTATAATAGTCCAAAATAGAGAATAAGACTAAATGGCTATATATATGATATATATATGTATGTATATATATATATATATATATATATATATTTGGGTTATGATTCCCGAGTTATATATAGGGTTTTCTAATTTTTAGTATAAATTAAAAATCTAATTTTTTTGTAATAAAATAAAAATTAGTACCCAACCCTATAAAAGAGAAAGGAGAGAATAAAGAGAAAGAAAGAAAAAAACTAGCAGACTTGTTTTTTTTTTTAAAAAAAAGGGGACAACTCGCATTCTCTTTTATTTCTTTATTTCTTCTTCTTTATTCTAAGCTCCAAAATTCACTCTACTTCCTCCAATTCCCTACTTTAATTTTTATGTTGAAACCTTTCATAAATACTCTAAAAATCATGAAAATAAGATGATTAGGGTGATGCTTAGCTAGATTAAAAACTTTGGAGGTTTGGAGGATTAAAAGATTGAAGTTGGGGTTTGAAGACCCATTTGACAAAGTGATATTTTTGCTATTTAATCTTACATTTTAGATGTTTATATGTATTTATTTATTATTTTGGAGTTAATTTATATTAGATTTGTTGTTTAAGTAGTTGATTGAACTAGGCTAGTGTTAGGATTTGAATTGAATTTGGGAGTTTGATGATTAAATACTTATTTGCAATCATTGATGCTTGAAATACAGATATTAATGGTGTTATAAAATTGATTATTGGATCATGAGTTTGAAAAACCACCGTGTTGGTTGAGATGATGGATTGTAGAATCAAACTATGTGAAAATTGAATTAAAAAACGACGATAGATTGTAAAGATAAGTTGTGTGAAAGTTAAATTAGAAATTGATGATGGATAATTGGTTGTAATAAAGTGTAATTTGAATTGTTAGGGAAAAAAATATAGAATGAAATTAGGATATAGTTGTTGGGTAATTATCTACAGTTAATGGAGAGAGTAAGAGTCTAGTTAAAAAAATTCTTAATTTGAGTCTTTTTGATAAATTTTGTTTTTTGTAATTTTTCTTGTATTTTGATTTCTAGAATAATTCATTTGCTTTCGAATTATTCGTTGATATATGACATTATGAATTGAATAAGAGTTGAGTTAGGTTGTTGATTTGAATATTGTTTTGCATTTGCATAATTATTATGGAGTTGTAGTTGTGTTACAATTAAGAAGTATTGGCAAATTAGGTTGCGATATTATGAATTAGATGGATATTTTGATTATTACAAGTCTGATAATTATAGTTTAAATATTTGAGGCTTACTTGAGTCGAGATGGATCTCATTACTCCTTCGATTCTCGCTCAAATCATGGCCCACTAATGGAGTCGTGACAAGATTAGTATCGTAACATAAGTTTTATAGCCTATAGTAACTATAGAGCATAAACTTTATTCTAATTTTGGCATTTGCTTTGAATTCATCTCTCTTGGCTAATGTTTTTAAATAAAATAAAAAAGGACAAATTTAAAAAATACCGCTCAATTATATTGGTATTCTCAATATTATTATCAACCAATTTTTTAGTATCAATTTTATCATTACCTTTTCATAAATTCTTATTTAAGAACTTTAATCTATTTTAAAGGTTTTATGTCCATTTTTCATCAAAATTGTATTTTTTTTTTTTTTTTGTAAGAAATGATGTTGTATTATAGATAACATCATGATTTCGTTAAGTGATTCTAACAAAAATTCTAGATTTAAAAATAAAAATAGTTCAACCAAAAACTTGATAAAAAAATAGTTTAACTATAAAATTGATAATATCTCAATGGTTTAGTGATATATTTGATGTTTTTCCAATAAAAAATATCCATAAAGTGTTTCATCGGTATTCAATGAAAATTTCTAATAGTTAGTGTAGATCCATTATGACACTAGGCTAACCATCTCAACTACAAAAATTAATAATAATAATAATAATAATAATAATTAACATATTCAAAGAAAATTATTGAACCTTGAAGTGATCAAGTAAAAGTATAGAAATATTCTAGGTTGTTTTTGTAGAGTATGACGAATCTCGTCAGGCTATAGAACTTGTTCGCTTTTCATTAAACTGTGAGACAGTAAATGATATAAGAAAAACTAGAGGTCCAAGCTTCGGGGAAAAGATAGCTTTTAAAACGTACATGGGAAATAAGTTTTGAGATATGGACAAATAGTGGTCCTATTACGAACTGATCTAAGCTAAATTACCTTTGACTCCCTGATATAGTAGTTAGGCATGCATATTTACGGTAAGTATTGTTAGACTATTTACTCTCTCTCTATATATAGACAGAGAGAGAGAGTATAAATAG